GTTAAGGATTCTACACTTTCAACTATTCATGAAGGTTTGAACTCTTTTCCAATCTTTCTTTGCTGACCACCATCTTTCTGAATCATTCAAAAGAACAAACATAGCATACTAATTTGTGTCTCTCTTCTTATAGGCCTAGAGTTGCAAATATCTTTATGCAATAAGTATAAGNCTCTCTTTGCCAGCTTTTTTTGGGTCTCCACCATATTCTTGATCCCTGAATTTTAACACTTGTGATTGACTTATTATATTTGGCATGGGTTTTCTCTTGGACCTGTCTACTGTGTTTGTAATTTTTGTTGAATCTCCTGATGTTAAGGATTCTACACTTTCAACTATTCATGAAGGTTTGAACTCTTTTCCAATCTTTCTTTGCTGACCACCATCTTTCTGAATCATTCAAAAGAACAAACATAGCATACTAATTTGTGTCTCTCTTCTTATAGGCCTAGAGTTGCAAATATCTTTATGCAATAAGTATAAGCAAAACCACATCTTACTTCCACTGTTATTTTCATGATATCTGCCTCTTATCCCCCATCCTTACTTTTGCAGTCCTCACCATATTATAATAATCTTTGATTTCCCGCCTATTTTATTTTTTTTATGCGTACTGTTAGATGTTTGAATTTTATGAGACACTTAAATAATTCAATAAGCTTATGATTTCCTATCAACTATCAGCTAAATTTTTCTCTCTGTGTTTTCTTTGCTGTCAAATGCTACTTAAATGAAACATTAGCTATTTCCTTTATCAGGTTTTTTCTGACCCTCTATATATTTCATTTCAAAAGTTTAGACTTCTCTATTTTCCATCATAAGCAAGAATGCGTGTCAAAATGTTACTCGTATATTCTATGATATATATATATATACAATTATTTATAATGGCATTTTTATATTAGTATAAAAATATTGGATTTTGTTGGAAATGAATATGAAATATATTGAATTTTTATTTTCAACTTGCATATCATTATAATCATTAACTTTCCTTTAATTGACTCAAATTTTTATAAATAAAATCTGAAGTTTGCTGGTGGAGAATTTCTCCATTGTGAGTTTTATCTCCTTTGCCTCTGTGACATATTTATTATTTAATCAAGGCAGTGTCAATGGAAAAGCCAGATTTTAACATTTTAAAAAAAGAAAGGAATGAGAAAAGTTGCCCGATCCCAATTTCTTTACAAAAAAGTTACAATTTCTTTGTCAGAATATCAATAATATTAGGACATTTTAACATTGCTGATCTCTTTGTTAACTGGAACTGCTGTCATCTCTTTATTAGTTTATTAT